CAAAGGAAAAGTCCCAAGCAGGGTTGTCCACAAACATCAGTTTCATTTATGTCCATGGTTTTAAGTTTGGTGAGAGCCAAGAGAGAATACCAAACCTTGTGTCAAGCACAAAAAAAGAGACACTTAACTGAATATGGACTTTTTCATGAGAAATGGACATAAAGGAAGACTGGCAAACATAAACAACCTGATGCAAACTTTAAACTTCTTCAGGTTTCCAAGCATAATTTCCCTCATACTCCACCAAATGTTCAGAACCCAATAAGGGAGCACCATTGAGTATGAGGGTTCTATACCCTCAACTAAGCAAACTAGACATCTATTTTTCAAAATGCTAATCAGGACTGTCCAGCAAAGGAATTAATTCACAAATCCAGAGTTAATCTCCTCACCCGTGATAGGCCCAGCAATAAACTTTCATGGGCAAGACCACTTTCCCAGTTAATAAATTTTGAAGATTGGGAGATGGTTTGATGATGTTGTCAAGGATCCAAGTAACGCCCCCAATGAAAGAAGACTCCGAGGCTTGAATTTCCTCAAAGTTCCATTTTATTAGAGATGTCATATTGCAAATTTGGGAAAACCCGAATCTGAAAGTTTCCAGGTTTTCCCCACCCAAAAGAAAGTTCAAGTCCCTGCCCAGCACCCACATGTCCATCAATGGTCCAATCAGGCACCACCCAAAACTGGAGATGCCTCCCAGCCACCTCATTGCAGCTGCAGGGCAAGGTGGCCTTGACTCTCTGAGAAAAGAATGTTATTTTGACTATATATCACCCATGCTCTATGCAATCCCCCCCCCTCTCATTTTTCCACAGTAGAAAATGTGGCAGACCTAAAGGCCCAAATGTAAAAGATGGCTTCCAGGTCTGACAGACATCTAAACCAAATTGTGTGGTCTAGAAAAAAGGTTAAAATTACAAGACATCTGTTCCAAATGTTGCCCTTTGCAAGAGGGAGCAGGGGAACACTCTGTTCATGATGTCATGTAAATGCTGTGACTTACATCTTTGTACAAGAACTCAGAATGCTAATAATAATAGTGAAATCTGTATGAAGACACGATTGCATGCATCATTCATTCAGTCAGTTAGTGCTGTGGACCCTGCTGACTGGAGTGAGATTACTTGCTCTGAGCAGATGCAAAACAATCCAAATAAGAACATATAAACATGAAAAAACATAGCAACAGCATATAACAAAGCAAGGATGGCACTCATTCTGTTTCCAGGTTTATCCTGGGATTCGTCAGGAGTTGAGATTTACTTTCAAGAACACCAGCTGGTCCACCAGGTCCTAGGGAGATGGATTCAAATCACACATTCTGCTGCATAACTTTTCACCTGCAATACTGGCTGATGGACATGTGTCAACAGTGATTAGTAAAGGATTTGTGATAAGATTTAAATAACAAATTCTTGCAAGTCTGAAAGTACCTCTTACGTTTATTCTCCCAAAAATGAAGGAGGGTCCTTTCTGAGATATTTTCTCCACTCCTACCCAGGGTGAAATCTACTTACCTTCCCTACTGGTTCAGAAATGCGCACTCTGCGTGCGCTCTACTCATGTGCGCGTGTCACATGTGATTTTGGACCCTCTGCACATGTTAAAACCAGGAAGTAACGACGTCTGGGCGGGTGGGCAGCGCTTTGTGCTGCCGCCACTACCAGTTCGCTGAACCACACATTGCTGCCACCAGTTCGCATGAACCGATGCAAACCGGTAGCATTTCACCCCAGCTCCTATCCCTCTTTCAGGCTCAGGTTTTGTTTATCAGATCATTGCCCAGGTGACTCTTTCTCCTGTCCTTCAGTGTCATTCCCTCCTACCATTACAACATGATAGGTGTTTCTGGGCAGTTCTTTCAGCAGATTCAGCACTTTAAGGGAGTTCCCCAGAGACTTTTATGCTTCTTCTCATAAGTAGGTGGCATGAGATATCTCAGCATTATTACCCATCCTTGGTTGCCTACACTAAACCCCCACCAAGGATTACAACCCCTTCTACCTTCAGTGAGGACTCTGGGAAAGGAGGTTGTCAGCTGCTATTACTAAAGAACTCTGCAGCCTTTGGCTACTACTAGAAATTGCTACTAGGAATCTGCTGAGGACTTGCTATTAGGACCCTTCTATCCTTGTGTGCTGCCAACTCTGTATATTCTAAGCTGACCTGATCAACTTATCCTTCCATTGTCTTGGCATACTGTTGCCATATAAGCTCCTTATATACATGGCATTAATTTATCCTGTCATATTGCATTACTGTCTGGTTTGGAAGCATTACTGCTTCAGCCAGGAAGGTGGTGAAGAGTAGTGGTGAAATCCTCCCTGGTTTGCCACCGGGTTGCTGCCCGCACATGTGTGGTACGCGCCAAATGTGTGCTGTGTACATTCAAGTTTAAAGTTTAAAGTTTATTAGATTTCTATACCGCCCTTCTCCCGAAGGACTCAGGGCAGTGTACAGCCATATTAAAACACATAGATTTATAAAATTTAAAACCAATTAAAATCGAATATAAAATTTGGCCAGTGAATTAAAACACACATACACCCATTTTAAAATTCGTACTAGGCCAGTTCGGCTTGCTGGAATAGAAAGTTCTTAAGGGCGTGGCGAAAAGTACGCAGGTCGGGGCTAAGACGACGCTCTAGGGGCAGCTCATTCCAGAGAGCTGGTGCCCGCACAGAGAAGGCTCTCCCTCTGGGTGTCGCCAGTTGGCATTGTTTGGCCGACAGCACCCTGAGGAGCCCCTTTCTGTGGGAGCGTATTGGCCGGTGGGAGGTTGTTGATGGCAGAAGGCGGTCTCGTATATACCCCAGTCCTAAGCCATGGAGCGCTTTAAAGGTGGTGACCAACACCTTGAATCGCACCTGGAAGACCACCGGGAGCCAGTGCAGCTCGCGCAGGAAGGGTGTTTTGTGGGTGCGCCGAGTCGCACCCATAACCACCCACGTGGCCGCATTCTGGACCAGTTGGAGCCTCCGAGCGCTCTTCAAGGGGAGCCCCATGTAAAGAGCGTTGCAGTAGTCCAGACGGGACGTGATGAGGGCATGAGTGACCATGCACAAGGCATCCTGGTCCAGAAAGGGACGCAACTGGTGCATCAGGTGAACCCGATAGAAAGCTCCCCTGGCCACGGCCGTCATGTGATCTTCCAAAAACAGACATGCATCCAGGAGAACACCCAAATTGCGAACCCTCTCTGAGGGGGCCAAGGTCTCGCCCCCAATAGTCAGCAATGGAAGCAGCTGACTATACCGGGACACCGGGAGCCACAGCCACTCGGTCTTGGAGGGGTTGAGTTTGAGCTTGTTTCTCCCCATCCAGATCCACACGGCCTCCAGGCACTGGGACATCACGTCAAGGGCATCATTGGGGTGGTCCGGGGTGGAGATGTACAGCTGAGTATTGTCAGCATACTGGTGGAACCTCACCCCGAAACCACGGATGATCTCGCTCAGCGGCTTCACTTAAATGTTGAACAGAAGGGGTGAGAGGACTGACCCTTGCGGCACCCCACATATAAGGCACCTCGAGGTTGACCTCTGCCCCCTGCCAACACAAACTGTGTTGCCAAACAGTGCATGCCAAACGCACGCTGTGCGCATATGCATAATACATACCGAACATGCACTTCATGTGGAAAAAGGAGGCTTGGGAAGGTAAGTAGAACAGTGAGGAGGGGCTATGCAATTTAGATTTGCTAGAAAGCAGGATTTCCTCCTTTTTTAGCTAATTTAAATTGTGCAGCACAGCTGATCATCAGAAATACCGGTTCAGATGAACCGGTAGCTTTTTCTACTACCGGTTCGCCCAAATCAGTAGCTTTTATCACTATCGGTTCGCCCGAACTGGTGTGAACCGGTAGCATTTCACCATTGGTGCAGACGGTGGTAAGGACTGCAGAAAAGATTGTTTTGTTTTGTTTTGTTCCATATAGCATCAACCTTGTGAACTCTCAAGTTTCCTCTTTCGCTACATATTCAAAATGGACAGTGATTTAGTATCTCTGTGTGTGCGTGCACAAACATACATACACATGTAGTATATGTATGTATGTATTGTTCAGGTATATATTTATGTATGTATATAGCATGTGTATATGTATGTGTTTGGGTATTTATACACTTTCTCTAGAGAGCAGGCAACATTAAGAATTTTATTTTTAATGTGGGCCAGTGTGCTCGCAGTAAAAAAGACAATAAAGTTGTCTGTCTGTCTGTTAGTCCGTCCATCCATCCATCTATCTATCATCTATCTATCTATCTATCTATCTATCTATCTATCTATCTATCTATCCATCCATCCATCCATATGGTAGTCAAACCTTAAATCCCTTCTCAGATACAATCATTTAATAGAGATAGTTACTGTATACAGTAGACAAAAGGACTTTTGCTGGGATTGCGAAGAACTAAAGGAAAGATGAAAGACCAAGATGAAGGAACTGAAAGAATTGTGATTAGACAGACATAAGCAAAACCTGGGGATTAGGTCAGAGTGAGATGGGATTTTAATAAGATGTAGATTTGTAAAAAGATACAATCGCACATAAGACAAACCAAGAAAGTAAAAGCTACAGAGGATTATAGTTCTTCTCTGTTCCCTTCCCCACCACTCCAGGCTGAATAAAATGCAGAGAAAGGAAATCCTAGTAGGTAGAATGAAAAAAGATAAGGGAGAAGAGAGACAAACCAAGGGGGGAAAATTCTGATAGGCAGGAACTCAACAAAGTGATAAACCTTATTGGCCAGCTACTCAAGAGAATGATGGAATGCATATTACACCACTCAGCTTGCTCCTAGCCTTCTCTATCTGGGTATCAGAGCTGCAATACAGTATCTTGTCTAGCAAAATCTAGCAAGAAGCAACATAATGGCACTGAATCCCCAAAGCACTTCTGAGCCACCTGATTTAATGTGTTGCTTTGAAGCAGCACCTGCTTTAATTGAGAAATCTAGTTTGAAAGGATCAATTCATTTAAGCTTTATTGACCTAGATTAGCCATATAAAGTTAGCATAGTCCATGTAGGCAGGAAGGACCATGAAAAGAAGATATGGACTATCTTCGTGACTATTTCAATATTAAAGAGGTGAATTGGATAATTCATAATCTTGTTCACTTACCATATTCTTTCCAAAGGCTTACCATATACTTTGTTTATGGTTGAAAGCCAAAGTTATACAAATACATATAACAAAGAATACGATTAAAACTGAGTAATTTATGTTAATTTATGTTACAGCACTGATAAAAAAAATACTAATTCTGGCACTAGATCCAGATCTTCCTTATGATAGTTACCACCAAGCAAAACTTGGCAACCTTCCGAGATATTTCAAGAGAGTCATGTGCTTACAAGAAACAAACTTCTTCCTTATTCTGCTAACTAACCAAATCAGCCAGCCAAGGGCTTCCACATCAGTGTAGAGCAGGGCTGTCTGTTGTGGTCCACCAGCAGCCTGCGGAGCTGGCAGCGGAGTCGGACAGCGATGAGGCTGAGGAAGAACAAGGGCCAGTCCTGGAGGCTGGGGAAGGCCCGGATGAGGGCTACTGAACTGTTTAGACAAGGATGCTTCCTTACCCAGATGCAGCTTCATTTTGTTTTGACCATATGAAGGACCAGAGTTACAGTGGGGTATCCTAAAGTTCACTTTGCAGTGAAAGGATGAGCCTACAGAGTAACAGGCTGGAGACTACAAACCTCCTCTCACCGAGTTTGCCTTGATCTATGCATCCTGATCTGCTTCCCAATTTGGTTTCATTGTTGGTAATTACTGCTGCCACCAACTATTTTTCAGATGGTCCTTCATTTAACAGAGATAGGGCTCCCGTACCTTGTCCTGTCCTTTGGACAAATGAAAGAAGTTATATAAAAGGAGTTAAATGAATGGAGAAAAACAAAATTAAACTTTGAAAAAAAAAACAACCTTAAACTATAAGATATATGAAATTTGATATGCAAAGGTAAATGCACAAGTTTTGGCAGACCATAATATAATGCTGGCCCTCTATAATTAATGAGCTAGGCAGGATCTCTGCTTCCAAATTAAATTCCAGAGCACAAGAATTTAATAAAAAACACAATAAAATATATTTGCCATGTCCAAACATTACTCAGAATATTCTTACCTGTGCAGAGAAAAAACAAAACAAAACCAAGGTACAGTAAGATATAACTAGCACCTGTACACAAAGAAAGATTAAAATGTCCTGGCTAGACATAATTACTTCCTAAACAGGACCCTTTCATAGCAAATGGTTTCTTCTTGTTCTTCTGATAGATAGATGTAGGCTTTATTGATTAGCCTATGGGCCATATCAAAGCACAAAGTTCAAACTAAAATCCTATACAAATAATTTAAAATAAGAGTAGAGTAAAATACAATAGTTATAGGATAAGATACAATATAATTTAATACATAAATATATAAAATAGAATAAAATGACGTAAAATTATATTTTGGTATCACCCTTACAATCTACCCCAGTGTTTCCCAAACTTTTGACATATGTGTACCCCTTCTATAATTTTCGTAACGCTGAGTACCCCTCATAAAAAACATATGGTACCCCTGGGGGTACGCGTACCACACTTTGGGAAACACTTAGATAACACTGCAATTCTCCGGCGTTTAAACAGCTCCGCGGCTCAACATCAACTGTTAATGTTCCCACAGTTTAAAAATGGCCGAACCCGAGCTGTGCGAAGGATACACAGAAGTTCCCGCCATAATGAGTTGCGATACGATGTACGATGGCCCCAGTTCCCGTGTAAAAACTGTGACACGCGCCTATTTCTTTCCTTGTTCTGTGGGCGCAGCTAAGCACGGTGCAGTGGATATTCCCACGTGATCCCCACCAAACTCCGGTGCAACGCGTACCCCCACCAAACTCTTCCCGTACCCCTGGGGGTACGCGTACCACACTTTAGGAAACACTGATCTACCCCAATCAGTTCCACGTATGCAGATCTCAACTGAACCATTTTGTTTAAGTACTGTGCTGTGTTAAATGTTATTTTCAGGTTCTGGCCACACATAAAGTAAGTTGTTTTGATATGAGGATCCCAACGGGTCATTCGTTTGGTATTATGCACCAAGTTACCTGTCTCTCACCCCCTTATACAAGCAACAATCAAATAGGATGTGAGCCAGGTCTTCTACCTCTGCCACTCCGCAAATGCAGAGATGCTCATTGTAGGGTATAGAATGGAATTTCCCATATCTGACCATTCTTGTTCTTCTGGATCTTCTTACGCTTCTTGAGGAAACTCCAGCCATTAGTCAGAGCTATGAGGGCATGGTAGACCCCACTCACTTTCCCATTTCAGGCACAGCAATGTGTTGCTCTATTTCTCTTCAGGTTCTTAAAAGAATACTTTTTTTAAATCCAGGAGAGGGAGTTAGGATGATATCTAACTAGGCCTACATGCCAGCACCATCTCTCCTGCCTAAGGGACAAAGGACAAATTTCCTTCTTAAATGTGTATTGCAGTTCAAATGTTGGCTGCTGGCCAGCCAACCCATCAATAAAAGTAGGGTTGCAACATGTGCATATGTAACATGTGTGTTACATATAGATATTGAACCCACACATAGGTGACAAATTGGCGTTTCTCAATCATGGTCACTTTAAGATGTATGCACTCATTCCCAAAGAGTTGAACACCACACATCTCAGAGAAGCCAAGTTTAAGAAATACTAATTTAAAGAAAGGTGTTTCATTTATTGCCATCTAAGCCTTTCAAATTCAACAAAAATAGTTCTTATATTTACATCGTGTCCTTTCCTTTGGAGCTCTAGGGTGGCATACGTGATCTCTGCTAAATTTTATCCATATTGTTCTCTGAGGGAGTTTAGATGGAAAGAAAGTGTCTTGAGCAAAGTCATCCAGTGATGAAGGTGAACTTAGATTTCTTATGTCAAGGTCCAAAGCTACAACCACTACTTGATGCCGGTGGTGTATATTACAGGTATCTTTCCAAATATATTTAAAAGATATGCGAACAGTGATGAATGATGCTCTTGTATGCAATTAGTTTTCTGCAGCAAGGGCCTTTGGGAAAAAAAAAAAGACTGACCTTCAGGGAAGAAATGGAAAGCTGAATAAAGCTCTACTAGAAGCAATGCAGCAGTTTCCAATGGATTTAGAGTAATGGGGAGACATCAATCTTGCTCAAACCATAGTTGGCACCTTTGAAAGGCCACTGGGTTCATATACTTCCTTTTCTAAACTCTTGTGATTGGTCCAGAAAGTTTAGCAGTGGACTCTGGGTCCATATAAATTTGAAATAGGATTTTGGAATTAACTATAAAGAATCCTCCCCATGGGAAAATGCTTTTGTTTTGAATTCTTAATAAGAATTTAAAAATTGAACACTAGAGGGAACTATTGCTGAGCACACTGTAAGCCGCCCTGAGTCTTCGGAGAAGGGCGGCATATAAATCAAATTAAAAAAACAAACAAACAAACTAGAAGGGTTCAGGGTTACAATTAAAGAAGAAAAACATTCAATCTTAACTTACAAATACAGAATTTAATTAATTAAATTTAATTAATTAAATTTATATGCCGACCCTCTCCGAAGACTCAGAATGAAGAAAAATATTTCAAGCATGTTGAAGAATATGTTTAAACAATGGGCCCAGAAGTTAATTTTAAGAGTGTCTGCCTCTATAGATCACCCTGTATTTAAAAGATATTAAGGAAAAGGAACAAGTTTTACCTGACAAGATGTAGACTGATTTGAAAGTGGATTTAAAAGTATCAGGCTAGAAGAATGACCTGGAAAAAGATGTTATACTGGACAAACAAAGGAAATTGACTGATATTTTAATAATTAAAAAGGATATATAAATAACAAAAGAAGAATATAACCTGGATAACTTTCCTATATTGGATTTACCAAAGCTTACTTATTTAAAGCTTTGAAGAATTTTCCCTAAATTCCACTGAAGATGTTACCTAGCCTGGTAATGAAACATTTGGAAGCCAACCCACAAGCTTGGAGAATGAACCTTTACCCCTAAGAAATCCAATTCTAGAAAATTATTTGAGATAATTTGAGATAAAATCAAGATTAGAAGAAGTAAAATGAAAGAATACAAAGTTGGCTTATTTGATCAAGGGTAAAACAGATCTGTTGTTATCGCTAGTAATCAATGGACTTTTGCTGACATCAGGACTAATGATGAGGCTTTAAGGATTTGTTTATAAATAAGAGTTGGGACATGGGGAAAAAGAGACCATTTGTTGAATTTTAAGACAAGATATAACTTACTAAAATTGTTTGTTTGTTATGATGAACAAGGCGGAAGTCATTTCTTTATATATTTCTTTTTTTCTTTACTATATTTTTAGTTTTTCTTTCTTTTCTATTTTTTCTATTGTTTTCCTTTTTATCTTTTCTGCACCTTTGATTTTTTGTTTGTATTACTTTTAATAATATTATTATAAAAACAACTCACCAACATGTGTCTAGGAGGAAATTTCCATTTCAGATTATTAACATTACTTTTTATTCCATCCTTCCTATGCAGATCTCATAGTAATATCTTTACTCTGCACAACAACACTTGAATGGCTGAACTAAGGTTTGAACTCAAGAGGAACTAAATTTCTTTTCATGTTGACATTAATAGTTATACTACAGGACTCAGAATTAGTAATATAAAATTATTCTACATGAAAAACATTGTAACAAAGTGTTTTTCACATTTTAAAAAAATCTTGAATCTCAGATGCATTTTAAGGCACATTAGTCTATTGATCTTTGCTCCATTTGAAATTCTGTAAGTATGATGAAGCTGATGGAGAGTTAAATACTAGAGGGAAAAAGGAAAGCTGGAGAAGCAACTTCAGAAAACAGGACAGTAGAATCCAATTACCTTCACTGTTTTGTCCTTTCACTCTGAGAAGCAACGATTTGTTTACAGCCATCTTTGATTGCTAAGATCCAATATCTTTCCAAATGATGTTGTTATTTATAACTCAGAAAATAAGTGGGTACGCCTGGAAGATTGAATGCTCATTTTCCCACTCAGTAGACTCACTGTTTGGTTCTGAAACAACAGTAAACATTCGTTATTCCTTCTTGCTGGATTTAAATCTTTGTACCACAAATACAACAGCAGATAAGCACATGACTGATATATGCAGATGACCAGAAATCTTGGAGTTGATCATGATTCTGTGGGATATTTATTTATCTTCTTGTTTACTTACTTATCGTGTTTCAAGACCGCCCATTTCCCTCAAAAAGAGAGCTCTTCATTTCCATAAGAATCCACTTCTTCTTAGTGGAAGGGACTACATTTGAACCAGTCATAACAATAGTGCAGGCTAATATTACAAGAGATATTGTCTTTGAGGGAAAAAACCTGAATGATGTTCCTTTATATAATACAGCAACACTACCTAGCCTAGCATTTTCCCGATAAACCACACTATCATCCCCCCTTTTATCCAATTACCCCACCTCACAGGCAATTAGCAATCTTCATTCATAGAAAACTTCAGTCTAGGCTTTCAACCTGTCCTTATGTCATGGCTGTATAATGGACATCAGTTGTCCATGCTATGGCCATAGCAGCCTCAGGACTTTGCCTAGGGCAGTGATGGCTAATCTTTTTCGGATCGAGTACCCAAAACGTGCAAGTGTGTACGCGAATGTGAACACGTGCACCCAAACCCCAAAATACAATGTGCGCATGGGCCCCGTGCACGCGCCTTGCCCGTGCATGCACTTGCCCCCCCTGCATGTGCCCCCATATGCCCCCCATGCATGCACACCTTCCCACACGCGCCCCCCATGTATGCATGGCAGAGACCCAACGACCAGTTGTCCAGTGGGAGGCGCACATTCATGCGCGGCAGAGCTGAACTGGGGCGACGGCTTGCGTGCCCACAGAGAGGGCGCTGCGTGCCACCTGTGGCACACGTGCCAGAGGTTCACCATCATGGGCCTAAGGCAAGAGGAATTAATGTTTGCTTCTTTTCTCTTTATACAAGTTAGATTAAGAGATCTGCCCCAAACACTAGGCAGAATGGATCCAGTAGGGAGGTGGGGTGAGAGTGGAATGTGTTCCTTCTTGATGAATGAGACTGCAGCAGTCTAGGATGGAGTTAAAATATTATGTTAAACCATTTTAGTTTGGGGCTAGTGAACCCTATAGAAGCACTATGGTTTATAAACCATGGCTCTTGGCTTAACAATAAACCAGCGGTAATCAAACCATGTGTCAATCTTGTCTAGGAAAGAGTAAAAGCGCAAACACAAGGCAGAGCTTCAAAACAAAAACTACTGAATTCTTGAAGACATTCTAAAGCCTGCCTTAGTCATTTTCCTTAGCCTGCACACAATCATTTTAAATGTGATTGTGAAAATGTTATGGTTAGAGTTACAGGCACATATAACTAGTTGCTTGACTGTATCCCTTTGTGCTTGCAAATAAAGCATCAGAGGGTGTGTTAAATTCATCTTCACACTCAGGTATTTTCTAATTTTAAAGTCAATTCACATATCAGAACAGTAATTGATTTGTAATTTCATTTGGTTTCCTGTGCTCCTGATAATTTGGGTCAAATGGACAATAAATTAATTACCTTGGAAATGAAAAATTAAGTTAGATCTTGGAGAAGTATTCTTAATCTTAATGTGCAAGTTAATTCTTTTAGAATGTAAGGCCACACTACTATCGGTATTAAAATTACATGATTATTGCCTTCAGAAGTTGTAGGTGCTTCATCACTGGAGGATTTTAAGAAAAGACTGGACAGCTACCGGTCTGAAATGGTATAGGGCCGTGATGGCGAACCTATTGCACGTGTGCCCAAAGTGGCACACGGATCCATGTCACCTGGCACGCACGGTGTTGCTCCTTCCTCTTCCGAGTTTCTGGTTGCACATGCGCACGCAATAATCAGCTGGACTTTGTGCGTGTGGCAGTGCTGGAAACCAGAAGAGCTGGTCTTCCGTTTTCTGGGGTAAGCATGCGTGCCGGCTAGCTAACCAGCACATGTGCATGCGTGGCAGTAACTGGAAGACTTGCTTACCAGCACATGCATGACCCCTGGGCAGCTCCTCTTCCTGGTTGCGGCCCTGAGTTATAAAACTCAGCTTGGATCGTCAGAGTAATTTAAAAGAAAAAAACCCTTTTTTTCTTTTAAATGCCTCTGACGATCCCAGCTGAGTTGCCTGATGGGCGGATGGTCAGAACCTTTTGAAAGCATTTTTTTACAACCTCTTTGCCGAAGAGGTTATAGAAAAAATGCTTTTAAAAGTAAAAAAAAAAAAAATTAGCCACGCCCACTGTCACATTACCCCCCTTCCACCAAGCCACGCCCACAGAACTGGTGGTAACGAATTTTAGATTTCACCACTGCTACAAGGTTCCTTCCAGCTCAATTCTGATTGTTTGATTGATTGGTATTTTATGTGATGATGTATATATGGTTATTTACCATATAAGATTTAATTTATAAGATTTAAAAATGATCAAGCAGGTTGTCAGGTAAAACGTTCTCAACTTTATGTATACTACAGTTCTTATGGTTCAGTTCTGAATAAAGCATGTCAGATCAAGACTCATTTTTTATCTTAAAAAAAAGTCTTAGAATGTGAGTCTTAGAATCCCATTTAATCCTTGATTAAGAAGTTTTTAAATCAAAGTTGTATTGATTTTGCATTTAAAATTTACACACGACAAGCACTTTTTTTAATGTTTTTAATTAAAATTTATTTTATGTACATTTCCCAAACCTAAGTCACTCACAACATTGAACTTGACATATTCACCAATCCTTTTGTGAAATAAGCTTAATGTTGCATTCATAACATTATAAAAAGAAAGGAGCAGAATTAGCTGTCACATCAAACAAAAATACAAAGGATACAATGTGTGGGGGAAATGTGATTAACCACATTATATTTCTGGCTTCCAAGAAGCTGCCTTCATCTACCGATATCCATATGTTCAATACGTGATCTGCATTTTATTTAATTAATTACCGTATTTTTCAGAGCATAACATGCTCCAGACTATAAGACGCACCTACCTTTTTTGGTGAGGAAAACAAGAAAAAGAAATCTGCCTCTGCCTCCCAGCAATTTTGCCTCGTTGCAGCAAATAGCAAACAACCTGCTTTACTTTCATTTTCGTTTTCAGCATAGCTTGATTAGCACAAGAAAAAAAAATCTGCTCCCCACAATTTACCTCCCTGCAGCAAGCAGCAGAGGCGCGCCGCGCAAAACAGCTGAGAGCAAAACAGCTGAGTCAGGAGGCCGATCCAATCAACTTGTGCTAATTAGGCTGTGCTGAAGCTGAAACGAGCTCTTTCTTCTTGCTGCTTGCTGCACGGAGGTAAACTGCTGGGAAGCAGAGGCCAAAGCAGGGGCCAGTGGATGGGCGGGGCTACATTTGGTGCATAAGACATACCTAAATTTTCGCCCCCTTTTAGGGGGAAAAAGGTGTGTCTTATACTCCAAAAAATATGGTAGTTGCCCATCTCGGTATACATTCTTAAAAGTTGCACACTCTTTGAGGATCAACCAGGAAAGAGGAAAGCAGTAAGAACTTGCTTACACAGGTTGAAAAATATCTTACTTACTATTCTGGAGAGCTGTACCAGGGAGAACATCTCTGATTTGTCCCCAGGATTTTTTTTCCTTCCTGGTCAGATTGTTCCAAGTCTCTTCTCTACCGAAAAATAACCCTTTCTCCCTGAACAGAACAACAATCTGACAATGAAGGAAAGTCTCTTCCTTCTTTTTTTGTGGGATGTGGACTACAATCTGGATATCAATCAATCTTATTATCAATCTTGATAATAAGAGGAAATTGATACTAATAACCCTAGACCCATGATGGCGAACCTATGGCATGCGTGCCACAGGTGGCACACATAATCATATAGGTGGGCATGCGAGCTCAGCTCCGGTGCACATGCACGCACCAGCCACTTGATTTTCCGGACTTTTGTGCCCACCGGAAGTTGGCAAACAGGCCATTTCCAGCCTATGGAGGCCTGTGGGGGGTGGGGAAGGCCATTTTCACCCTCCCCAGGCTCTTAGAAAGACTCTGGAGGCTGGGGAGAGCAAAAAACGGGCCTTCTGCTCCCACCGGAAGTTGGCAAATGGGCCATTTCCAGACTCTGGAGGGCCTCTGGGGGAGTGGGGAAGGCTGTTTTTGCCCTCCCCAAGCTCCTAGAAAGGCTCTGAAGCCTGGGGAGAAAGAAAAACGGGCCTACCGGGCCCACCGCGTGCCTGGAGTGGGGGAGAGGGGGACAAATGGGCAGCGTGGGGTGCATAGAATTATAGGTGTAGGCGTGTATGCACGCGACTCCCCCTTCTTCCCACGCTCCTGGCACGCGATGGCAAAAAGGTTAGCCATCACTGGCCTAGGCCAGTGGTCTGATTCAGTAAAGGCAATGTTGAACACAGAACCAAGGACTTCATGGACCCCACAACCTAGCAGTCATATACTGTTCCTTTCAGGATGCTTGTTCAACTTTCCAGTTTAGCCTGAACTTAGACTTAAAATAACTTTATGGTCGCTTTGAATGTACACTAATCGGCATACATTAAAATGAAATTTCGTTGCATACAGCTCCTCAAAGGGCATCCACCTCTAATATACACTACATAAACATGACAAAATAAATAAACACAAAATTATGCATATATTATATGCACATATGTTATATGACACGGAGAAACAACACAGTCTAGTTCAGATGTACACATGTACATGGCGAGAGAAACAAATCTTGCAAGTTTATCAGACGGATGGCATAGGGAACAAAGCTGTTACAGAATCCTGCTAGAAATACTTCCGAAACCTCCTCCCAGAGGGTTGGAAGACTGGATTATATCCCTGCAGAGCACTAACCGGGCCTGATCCTGCTTAGCTTCTCAGCACAGAGAAAACACCCCTGAGCAAGCCACCTATCTCAACTTCCACCTTCCCCATCCCTTCTCTTTCCCGGGATAAAAGGGCATTCAGCTTTCTCTGGAGTCAAAACAAGCTTGTGGTGGCTCTGTTCTACGGGGCTGTGCTAGTTTCTCTCCAAATCTCCCTGGGTGGACACATCCCATTCTAAAAACCTGTAGTACAGTGGACTAAGCACTGTTATTAACAACTGCTGCTTGCAATTACTGCAAGTTCGAATCTCCCCACGCTCAAGGTTGACTCAGCCTTCCATCCTTTCTAAGGTAGGTGAAATGAGGACCCAGATTGTGGGGGCAATAAGATGACTTTGTATAAATATACAAAAGAATGAAGGCTATTGCTTAACGCACTGTAAGCCGCCCTGAGTCTCCGGAGAAGGGCGGCGTATAAATTAAAGCAAAAAAACAAAACAAAAACAAACTCAAGTCTGTTGCAAGCATTGATTAGATCGCGCTCCATTAGTTTTAAACATTTTTTTTAAAGGCCCTCTGTTAGTGTGGGCGGCATCACGCTCAGATTCCCTGCCTCTCCGCTGTCCAACCTAAAGTCCCGTGGAAACCCTGTTGGCCTCTATGGCAGCGTTGGGTTCCCTTCCGCAGCATCTGCCTGCCGCTTGTCACCCGCCGCTCACCTGTACGCGAGAGCCCGCATCCCACTAAAAACACGTGGCCAGGCGCCCCGCCACGCAGAGGCTTGCTAGAGAGAGCCGGAGATCTGCCAGCTCCTTCCCCCCACGTCTCCTCCCCGCGGATCCTGAGGGCCGGCTGCCCTCCTTCGCCGAATTTTGCCTAGATCGCTCCCGCTTGCCTTCGCCCCCCACTTCCTCCGTGGAATCTCCGGGGGCAAGGAAGAAGCCGAGGGAAAGGGGGGGGGGACGCGGAATGAGTCACGCTTGAGCGAAGCAGGGAAACTCCAGCTCCTCCGCCGAGGCCAACGCTATTAAAGAGCGCATGCGCGCCCGGAGCCTCTGCTCTGCTCTGCTCCCCACCCTCTCTTCCTCGCTTTCCCCTCTCCCTCCTTTCCTTCCTCCCTCCCTCCTTCCTTCCCTCCCTCCCTCTCTCTCTCTCTCTCTCTCTCTCTTTTTCTCTCGCTCTCTCTGTCTTTCCCTGCCGGCTGGGTGCTGAAGTTGGGCGGATGGCAGCAAACCAGCTCCGCTAGGGACCAGCTGCACCAGCCTTTTCCCCGGGATCGTTCAGTGCCAAGCACACACCACCAGGCGGGGGTGGGTAAGATGGACCGCTCTTTTTTTTTTTTTCTTTCCTCCTTCTCTCTCTCTCTCTTTCTCTCTCTCCTTTCAACCCTCCGCCTTGGACAAATCGCTGGCACCAAAATGTCTGCTTTATAGACCGGTGCTTGGAGATAGACCTCGATCTCGACCAGGCGAACCGCGAGGGAGGCGAGGGGCAGAGAGGGAGGGGCTGCCTGCCTGCCTATCTGCCTATCTGCGTGGAGTGCGAAAGCCAGAAACTGGTGGGGCTGAGGGCGGCCAGAGGTGCACGCCTGGGTTTCTTGGGTGCCCTCAGTGGGTGCGTGTGTGAGTGAGTGTGTAAGTGAGTGAGTGCGCGCGCGCGCGCGCGCTAGTGTGTTCGGGGTGTGTGTGTGTGTGGTGGGGGAAATGTTGTTTCTCTCCGGCGATGCAGAAAGGGGTGGGAGGGAGGGGAGAGGCTCGGCGTGGTGGCTTCCCTGGACCTGCCCTCCTCAAGCTCAGGGCTGCCGGCGGGAAGATGCTGAGGGGCTGGAGCGAAGGATTTGAACCTGACCGAGGCAGAATGGCAGAAGAGATTGGAAGCGTTAAAAGAGGACCTTAGGAAAGGAAAAACTGAGGGGGGGGGAGAGAAAGGTGGGGAAGTAGGAGAGCAGGGGAAGCTCCGTAGAAGTACAAACGTCCTTTTGCAGATGTAAAAAGAGACATTTCCCCCCTTCTTACCAAGAAATAATACAATGTTTGGAACTTGCTTTGCCTTCCCCAATCTCTTTGGCGGCTATGAAATCATCTTCTCTTCTCTTTTCTCCTCTCCTTACTTCCTTTCCAAATTTTATCTCCTCCACCACTCTCCTTTCCACCACTCTCTGTAAGGAATTGGCATTCTTTCCTTAAAACAACCCTCTTTAAAAGCATCATAGAATTTGTCAGAAGGAGAAGGGAAAGAAATGAATCCTAAAGTAGCAGTTTTGATGTGAAGAGGATACCCGCGCCCACATATTTCACACACACACACACACACACACACACACACACTTATAACTGAGGAGATGGGGGTGCAGAGCTTTTCCTTGTCATTCCTAAGGTTAGCCAAGAAAACATTTCCTGCCCTTGCCAGTCCATTGGAGTTTCTTCTGCTTGGCTGAGATCTATCTAGCTCCTTCTCCCCGACTGCTCTTCTGAGAATGCATGAAGTTGGAGGAAAGGCTTGGATCCACTTAGGAACCCAGAGATGTCAAATGTGGGGGGACAGTGGCTGCTGTAGAGACAGACAACCAACCTGATGGTTGTTTCTGATTAGGCAAGAGCGACAGGAAGGGTCTAGCGAGGTGGAGTCAAAACCTGCCACCACCCTTACCACTCATTGGAAGTGGCAACGGAAATTTTGGCTGCTTCATAGCTTGTCTTAGCAGGATTTCTGACCACCCTGCTGGTATCAAAATGCAAAGGAAGGAAGAAAGGGCCTGGTCTTTGATCATAGCTTTTTTCCTTTCAGAATCTCCATTTTCCCCTTCAGGATATAGCAGAGTCTGATGAATCAACACGCTTTATTTGCAACTATCTACTCTGCTTCTGTTATTCCTTTTGTAGTTTCAGATTGCTGTAATCTCCAGCAGGTTTAGACAGAGGTGGCTCAAAATCTTTTCTTTCAAACTAACTTTTAAAAGACGGGATCAAAAGCTACTACTTTTACATATAGTTTCCTTATAATCTGTTGTGTTACAGATCACTCCAGAATTGCTGATACAGTACTGTTTTAAATGCATACATCAGGGATCATGTTCAGACTTAATATGGGCCAGTGGGTGTGTTTCCCCCCCCCCAAAAAAAAAGCCTATTAAGCATTCAGTTACAATATATTTTGTAAATGTCCGTCACAGAATTGTACTTTCTATTAACGATTCTTGTTATTCTAGTGTTCATAGAGGCACGTATACTCAGGGTAGCCCCTAGCAAGTCTCCAACCTGTTCTGAATTTGTTCATTTATTTTAATAGATGTTCCTATAAACAGAAAGCATTTGAGCCTTGATTCATCATGGTTTGGTTATCGTTTGATTTGGTTAATTTAATCTTATCTTTGGTTTTCATTAATTTGTGGACTTTTGCCAGGATGTTCTTTTTTCTCTTATGTATCTTTTCTTATTCTTGCGGTAGTTTTGGCATTTAACATCAAGCCCTCCTGCACTGGATGCTTCAGCCCCATCATCAAGGATGGGTCAATGTTGATACCCCGGTTTCAGTGTGGTTTTGGTTTCTACTTGCTGTTTCTATAGCAGTCAGGTTTTTATAGGGTAGGGTTGCTAGCCCTATGCCTAACTCTCTTCCTTTATCCAGACTTGGGACCAGCAACAACAGCTGCTGAACTACTCAATCCATCCAGTGCCCACCGCAGGTGGAGTTATCTTCTCTTATAGAGAGTCCTTAGGGATTCAAGAGTCTATAAATGTAAATCGTCATCATCATAATATTCTATCATGTGTTTTGGTAGATAATTTACTCAGAAATGGTAACATGGCATTTATTGGGCAGTTAATATCGGTGTGGTTATTTCATTTCATTTTGTGTTATCTGAAATTTGCCTTCTGCTTCCTGTCTCCCTTCTCTTGCATATTTATTCAAATGAGCCACGCTGAGTTCAGTGAGGGTTATTTCCAGATGGATGGTCGTAGGACTGCAATTTTAGATTGAAATTAGAAAAGTAGATTCCTTTATGATCCCTTTAGACAAAACAGATTAGCTAAGATGAAGCATCCATGGAAGAGTTCTCCAACGAATTGTGTTTTATATGAGTGAAAAGTATGAATAAATTTCAGTGGGTAATAGAATTTGATCGGTGTATGATCAGAAATGTTCTGTTCATGAGGGTTGGGATAGCAAAGCTTCACACAACTGTTCCTCAATTTGGCAGTTGCTTCAGCATGACTCATTGTTAAGATCTTCCTAGGTTCCACATTTTGTGTTTCTCATGCCTGTGTGACAACGTGTCACTTTTAACTACTTTGGAAATTTTGTTGAAAGGTAGTAGGTAAAATATTTATAAAAATAATATAAAATATTTTTGAAGCTATGTGAGATATGTGGAAGTTTTCACGTTGTCCCTGCATAAATCAGACCTATTTATGATACGTGTGGATGTCATCAGTGTCACAAAGGCGAATTTTACTTTTGAGACACCAACAAAGTTAGATTTTGCCTAATTGATACTTTATCCCATTCCACTTTTTGCTAAAAGTTGGAGATTCACTTGAGTTACAATTTCACTAGGTTTACTATAGAAGTTTCATTTTTATTTTCCCCATAATTCCCATATCAAAAATGCAGAATATAGTTACAGAACATAATGCTTCTTCTAAACATAGGCAATGCCACAAAGGAAAACATTAGATATAAAAACATCAGCCTTGCCTGTCTTGCTCAATACATTTGCTCTTAGTTGGAAAAATCCAATACTTCCATTTAATTCCCTATCAGGCCGTTGACTGGGATTCTTAAATTTAAGAGATTATAAGCAAGTTGCTATTGACCCTTTGTACTAATATTCTTCTAGGTTATATTCTACTTTGAGTTTAATCAATAAAGAGAGCTTTTCTCTAAGCGCTGCTACTTACAAAGGAGCCAAATGGACTTATAGACAACTCTTGGTACTGTTCTAGGAATATGAGTGTGAATTTGAACAAACAGGATAGAAAGGTGATGCTAGACAACAATAGCAATAGCATTTAGACTTATATACCATTTCACAGTGCTCTATAGCACTCTCTAAGCAGTTTACAGAGTCAGCATATTGCCCCCAGCAATCTGGGTCCCCATCTTACTGACCTCAGAAGGATGGAAGGATGAGCCAACCTTGAGCCAGTGAGGATTGAACCCCCGGCAGTCAGCAGAATTAGTCTGCAATTCTAACCCCTGCATGACCATGGCTCCTAGGATAGTATCTCTAGAAAGGATGCAGGAATTGTATCTCCCATACAACAGGAAAAAAGCATTGATATTCTGCTTATTATTTTCATTGTCTGCATTTTTGATTGGAGTATTTTAAAGCAATAACTTCCAACCTGTATTGTCGAAACTAGAGGCAATTCATGAAAATATTGCAAGTGGCCCCTGGAAGGATACACAATGAAATTTTATGAAAAAATTAAATGGCCAAAATGTCAGAAAATTACCAAATCTTTTGAGAGGTTGAAGCATTTTGCAAAATTTCACATAGGAAACCTATTTTGAGATTTGGCAATCTCATGATATTTCAGCCTTAAAAAAATAATATGGGGCTATGGACACTGCTGAGATGGATCCTTGTGCTATGGTGCCTATAGGCATTATACTGCAATTTCTTTGGGTTATGCAATTGTCTTCAAATAATAATGGAAGGAATGGAAACATTTAGAAATTATTGTTATGGAGTCCATAACTTTTAAAGACAGTGCAGACCTCTTTCCACTTTCTTTTTTTTTCTATTATCTGAATGTGATTACATTATTTCAAAAATTTATTTGGAACTCTGCTATTTGACATATTTATCTGAGCCACTGGACTGTTTATCTAAACTTCTCAAAACATTTCTCAGGTTTTCTGATATCTGGTATCTCTGGGTACTACTACATTTCTTAGGGATGTCTCCCACAAGTTTAGCAGAACCGTAGCACTCCTTCCTCCATTTTTGCCACGTAACAACAATGTGAGTTAAGTTACGCTGAGAGAGGATGACTGTTGAAACTCACCAAGTGAATTTGTGTAGTTGAGGTGAACTAAACCACAGTCCTAATCCTTACCCACGATGCTACAATGGTTCTCTTTAGCTGCTTCTGTAGAAGGAATTTCTGCTGCATAATTATGCTATATAATTACATAATTATGCCATATAAAATTGTTCTCCCTAAAAGAGATTAGGAAGACAGGGCATTAGTGTTCTTGAAACATTATGTTTCAATGACATCAAAATAGATGAAGATGAAATATACTGTATTTATAAGTGCACAGTATAAATATATTCTCTGAAAAAGAAGTGTTCTTATTTTCTG